GGACAGCAGCTCTCTGAGAGAGCGGTTGCTCAGACCGACTCTTGCGCTGTCTGCTCTCCCAGGCCTACCTGTGTAAAGAGCTGCTGGACAAAGTGGCCCTGCACTGCCCCGTGGACAAGGAGCTCTATGTCATCCGCTGCCAGCAGGACCTGTGTCTGGGGCCGGAGAAGGGGCAGGTGCAGTCCAGCTGCAGCACGCTGACCGAGTACGCCAGGGTGTGCGCCAGGATCGCGCCCGAGACGGTCAGCCGCTGGAGGACGGCCAGCCTGTGCAGTGAGTGACCTCCCACTGCCACACGCGCAGCGCACACAGCGCACACGCGCACGCTCACGCTGGGGGCTCTGAGCTCACGGCTGACGAGCTTTGTTCTGTCTCAGCCGTTGGACACTGCCCGGAGAACCAGGTGTACCTGGAGACAGGCTCCCCCTGCAGGCAGACCTGCTCCAGGCCCCGGTTCAGGTGTCCCGCTGTCTACAACCCCGGCTGCTTCTGTCCCAACGGTGAGTGGCTGTGGGGTCTCGGGCGGCTCGGGCGCAGCCCTGCAGGAGGGGAGCAGTTTTGCAGTGTTGCTGGCGAGTCGTGCCCAGTGCCAGGGGCTGGGCGTGAGCCACAGTGCTCCAGCGATGGGGTCAGAAAGAAGGCAGTTCTGCATGGATTGAGGAAGAAGTGATCGGTGATGCACTCAGGGCCCGTCTGTCTTTTTAAAACCCGCAGGAACGGTCCTGGACAACATCTCTGAGAAGAGCAGGTGTGTCCAGTTGGAAGAGTGCCCGTGTGTCAACAATGGGCACAAGTACCGGGCGGGGCAGAGAAGGGAGTCTCGCTGTGAATCATGGTGAGTTGACCTGTAGCTTGTTTCCGCAACGTGCACAGCCTTTCAGTACTGTTAGAATCAGCTCGTGCAGCGTGGCACAGAACCCAGCGCTGTCCAGAGACGTTGCGCAGTCTGTGCCAGGCCCTGCTGAGGCTGTGGGTGTAGCTCAGTGGCGTGGCGATGTGACGAGCCCTGCAGGTGAATTAAAGGCTCTGCTGTCCCCTGTGCACGCAGCGTGTGCCTCAACAGCCGCTGGGAGTGCAAGGAGCGCTTCTGCCCACACACCTGCGCGGTGGAGGGCGGCTCCCACGTCACCAGCTTCGACTCGCACAAGTACCGCTTCCACGGCTCCTGCACCTACGTGCTGCTCAAGGTCAGACACCTGCCTCCCGCCCCCCTGTCTCCTGCCTCCTGCCTCCTGCTCCTCTCCTCCTGCCTCTCTCCTCCCTCCTCCCTTCTCCTGCCTCCTGCTCCTCTCCTCCTTCCTCCTGCTCCTCTCCTCCTGCTTCCCTCCTCCCTCCTCCTGCTCCTCTCCTCCCGCCTCCTGCCTCCTGCCTCTTGCTCCTCTCCTCCTGCCTCGCTCCTCCTGCCTCCTTGCTCCTCTCCTCCTGCCTCGCTCCTCCTGCCTTGCTCCTCCTGCCTCTTGCTCCTCTCCTCCTGCCTCACTCCTCCTGCCTCCCTGCTCCTCTCCTCCTGCCTCGCTCCTCCTGCCTCGCTCCTGCGCCCTGACTAAGACACCCGCAGTCTGTCCCTGGAGACGCAGTGACTGAAGTCAGCCCCGCCTGGCACACGTGGCCAGAGCATCCCGCTCCACTCTGCCCCCAGTCTCGAAACGGGCACCCAGCGTTTCTCTCCTCTCATGCGCCGCAGCCCAGAGGGTTAGGATACAAGATGGAAGGTTAAGAATGAAAATCTTTTATTTGTCTGCAAGTTATCAAAAGTCTACAGGACATCCAGTTGCCATTCATTATTTTAATATGGATGGGATGTACGTCTGACCATTTATTACTATTACGTGTTTTATTACAGTATATTTTTTTTATCCTGAATAGATTGGCTTCCCTCTTCCTTCTTATTCAATATCCTTTCCTTTGCTATTTCATCGCCTGTATCTTACTGTAGGCCTTATCTGCTCTGGCTTGCAGTGTTGTGTGTGATCTCCTGGCCTCCTGTGCAGTGTGAGTGTACAGTACGCTGTGTCACTGTGCGTGCGCTGCTGTGTCCTCAGAGCGCTCTCCTGCCCTGGGGCGGCATGGTGATGGGACACTTCCACAAGTGCGGCGCCGGAGAGCGGCAGTCCTGCCTGACGGCCGTCTCCTTCGCCTCCACGCAGGTACCGGACCCCTGCGGTCCTGCCCCGAGCCGGGCCGCCTCGCACCCCGCGAAGATGACGAGGTAACGAAGCATTTCGCGTCTCCGAAAGCGAACTGACAGCGCGCTCCCTTCCGCGTGTCCGCAGGCCACCTTCAGCCTCGACCGGCACGGAGTTCAAGTGGAGAATCAGAAAGTCCAGCACCTCCCCCTCCGAACAGGTACAGCCCCCGACCGCGCCTCCCGGGGCGCCGCGCGTCACCATGGCTGCCCGCCCCAACCCGCTCTGTCCTCCCCCCCCCCAGAGCACTTCGTCATTTTCAACCAGTCGTCCAGCTTCCTGCAGGTGGACATGTGGCCCTGGCTGACCCTGCAGCTGCAGCTGCAGCCGGTCCTCAGCGTGTACCTGCGGGCGGAGAAGAAGCTCTTCGGGCTGACGAAAGGTCAGGGTCAGGGTCCGGCTCTGCGGAAGATAATAATAAACTTGATTATACTGTATATAGCGCCTTTAAGGGTGGCTTCTCAAAGCGCTTTACAGGATGACAACAACAATAAATAAGAAGACTACACAATTACAATATAATAACATCACTTTATTAACCCTTTACAATTTCTTGTATGAGGAATTTGTCTTTTCGCAGACCCCAGCTTGCTCTCCATGAGACACACAGACAGGGAGAGAAGCTGGGGGTCAGAGCGCAGGGTCAGCCATTTATACGGCAACCCTGCAGCAGCTGGGGTGAAGGGCCTTGCTCAGGGGCCCAGTGGAGTAGGATTCCTCTGCCGGCTGCGGGATTTGAACCGGCAACCTTCCAGCCAGAGGAGCAGATCCTGAGCCACAGAGCCACCACTCTGCCCATAAAAAAAAAATACAGAGCAGACCGTGGATGGTGGTACTAGGAAAAGCAGAGGGGTGAAGAGTGGAACCAGTGAAGTAAAGGCTTTTCTGAAGAAGAGGGTCTGAAGGAGTTTAGAGAAGGAGACTCTCTGATACCCTTGGGCAGAGAGTTCCAGAGCTTGGTACAGACCCTCTTCCTCTAGCTGGGGTGCTGCCGTGAGGGGTGTCGCTCTCCCACCCCGCGAAAGAGGCGCCGGACGACCGAGGCGAGGTGACGCCAGGCTAGGGGTCGGGGGGTCAGAGGTCATGGGGAGGACCTTTGCTTCTGTGAGAAAGGCAGGAGAGAGCACGGGGGAGTTTGGGGGGTGATGTGGGGATAACGAGACCGTAAAATAAGCGAGCGGGGCTTCTTCAGGCCTGCGGAAGACCGCAGACCCTCCCCAGGCCCCATCGCGCGCTCTGCGTTCCCAGGGCTCTGCGGGAATTTCAATGACAACTCCCGGGACGACTTCAAGAACAGCATGGGGATCCGGGAGGGCATCGCCTCGCGCTTCGTCCACTCCTGGAGGCTCCGCAGCCGGTGCGCCAGCCCCCGGAACACGGACCCGGACCCCTGCCGCTGGAGCGAGGCCGACGACGGCAGCCTGCTGCAGAGACCGGCGCCCGCGGGTCAGTGAGCGAGGAAAGCTTAGGAACTCCCTCAGGTTAGGTGTGGTCAAGCAGAGTCCTTTATTCATGCGCATGGGGAGGATACAATCATGCAGATCTGTGAGTAACCTCTCCACCGCGAGGGTAAATGCAATGAGATTTATACAGCAGATTCACACAGGAAAGCTCATTCTAAGTTTCCATATGAGGAGTTGTTTTTCTCTCTACAAACATTTATTTGTAATTGACCACGTTCTTCTTAAGAAGCAGTTTTACCTTGTATACAGACAAGAGGAAGTATATAAATAAAAGGTGTGAACTGAGATAGACATCCTGCGGTTGTAGCGTTAATATCAACAAGTCAAATAATGTGCTTGCAATTCGTCTTTCATGCTGTTGCTGGGTAAAAGACATTTCTCAAAGCCAGCTAGTCACTCTCTTATACACTTTGAAAAAAGGTAAATGCTAGAATTTGTCCTCAGCGTCTGGCTCCTGGCCAAGAAGTGTGACTGTTAGTCCTGGATGCAGCTCAGGGTCTTGGTATACCCTGCGTTTGTTAAAATAATGACCAGGGTAAATCTGACTCTACACAGTAGAACTATCCATGATGCTTTAGGAACTTTGTTTCTGATTGCTTGTGAGTAGCTGTGTGCAGAAAGAGAAGGATTTCATGGGGCTGCGGTTTGTTAGTCACAGCCAGCAGCTCAGCTGTTCTATTAGGAGTGGGTGGTGTTTCATGTTTCCCTTGGCATTGCTGCAGCTGAATACGCCAGCACCCACTGCAGGGCTCTTCTGAACAAGTCCAGTGTCTTCGGGCAGTGCCACGGCGAGGTGAACCCCCTCAGCTACTTCAAGGTGAGGAGGACCCCCTCTCTCCCTGGGCTCTCGCAAAGCCCTGTTCCCCGAGACGCTTGGGACCAGCTCGGTCACTCCTGTCCGTCACGGTCCGCTCTGTCCAAGCACACATTGCACCACAGCCTGCTAGTCAGGAGCAGTTTCTTGTGGAACTCTTTCTAAATACTGACTGGGGTGTAGTGTTATGAACTGCGCTGGGAGGGTGGTGAAGCAGCCAGACCAGTATGATCT